AATACTGTATACCGCCGCCTTGCAGTGGATAATGAAATCACTAGATTGGAACGAGAGATGTATACAAGTTGATGAAAATTCCTCCCAAACCTTCGTTTTGCGGACGACATTCCCTTCTCGAGGAGTGTCACTGAAGCGGGGAGGAGTTGAAAGAAATAAACGAAGTAGGGAAGCAGATAGGACTGCGAATTAAGCGGAAGAAGACTTAGTTCATGAAGAAAGCTTTTCGCGAGGATCAGGAAATGGATAGAATGCTCTCCATCGCCGAGACGTTTTCTTACGCATATCTCGGGCGTCCGATGAACACGGAGAACTATCTGAAGGAAGAATCAAACAGGAGGCAAAGAGCAGCTTGCGCCCCCTTCGGGCCCCTAAAGGAAGCCACAGACCAGCTTACGGATAGAGCTCCGAACCCACCTGTTCGATTCAACTATTCTCCCTGCGCTCTGCTACGCAGCAGAGACGTGGTATGACACTGTGGCTACGTCAAAGGCTCTCCGAACAACCCACACGCTGGAACGACGTCTTCTAAAATACAACCGACGCACTCAGCATCTCGTCGGGCTTCGCAGTTCAGATATGAGATCGATGTCTCGTCCTCGCGATCCAGCGGAATAGGTCTCTAAGGCAAAACATTGATGGGCTGGTCATATAAGAGAAAGGCAGATGACAGATGGACTCTAAGAACTCTGGAATGCGAAGCAAAACGTCCTCGAGGAAGGCCACCGACCAGATGGGCTGACGTTTTCGTTGCACGGATGGATCAACTGAATTCTCAACTGGTAAAGAGTAATGGATGGACCTCGCAAACGTCGTGGCCGCAATTCAATACCAACATTGTGAATGACGCCAGCCAGGAGGGAAACGGAAAACGGATGGAAACACGGCCTGCACGAGAAGTGAAGACAGGCCATCTAACTAAGCTAGGTAAATGGAAATGGATAAGCATCAAATTTCGTGCCTTATATGCACAAAGAAGAGGCGGAGCTGACCTCAATGCAAACTACATTTTGACGGGGTACATTCTCGTAGGTAGGTGACACCGCTACGGTCGACTCCTAACGCAGGATGGTTTTTGAGTTATTAGATAATCAAGAATGAGTTGCATTTGTGAATTTTCAAGAACGGTCAAAAATTCTAGCTTGTGGGTGGCATGAGAGTAAAAAGTAGGAAGGGAGCTTATGCATAGGCTAACTTATGCATATCGTGCTCAACTTTTACATCAAGGTGATATTGTCTGCTCCTCGCGTAGCCATGCGAATTGTTAAATAGGACCCCTAAGGGTGCCATACCTCGCACAATTGTCGCGAATAGATATGCATTACGAAGATAACGTATATTCTCTAGATAGACATTAGTGTAGGAATGAGGGAGGTATGTGTCATGGAAGTCAAGAATGAGTTGCATTTATGAATATTCAAGAACGGTCAAAAATTCTAGATCAAGATCTCTAAAAGCTGGTTTGATGTTATGTTTCCGTGCTGTAGAAATCATATTCATTTCGCGAGAAACATAGATTTATACAATTTCTCTTCCATCTAGACCTTTGATTTTTACTGTTCATTGTTCATCTATCCCAATTCTACTGTAAGGGCTTATTGTGTACGAGTATGGTCTTTACGATATTTTAATAACTACGGTAGGCAGCCTTTGAAGAGATTAGTGATTTTAACCTGTCAAGTCCATCACAGCTGAGACTCTAGACAAAATTGATTGATGTATCCCTTCCACTTTTCGCTCTGTAGATGCGATCATTAACAGCTTTATTAT